AATATAAATAAATACAAAAAACATACATGTACGATGTATGTACAATTTGTTCCCTCAAGGAATAAATAAAGTAAACAATCATGTCCGAAAGGGAGCAGGAAGAAGTGCAATACTTAAGTAACCCCGTCCCCTTTTGTACTTAAAGGATAAGTAGAAGCATACCCGTTTCTGCAAGGTTTGAATGTTTAGCACCGCCCCCCAACTCGCTCAGAGGCTTCACATTTCCAATAAGCGGAGGCTTCTAGTTGTATTTGCAATCTGATGCTAACATTAGCATTAGCGCAACTAAAGCTGTACAACAATCACTGATGACATGGTACAAAAGCAACGCACTGCTAACAAAATATATAACTGAAAGATTACCGCTATTTTTGCGTCCGAATGTGGTCCGAGGCAGTCCCGCTCCCACAGCTCTCTCCCATAGACAAGTCTCTCCAGAGGATACAATATAAGCAAGCTATGTTCACCCGGGCTTGGTTTCTTCTTTGATCATTTTCTCGCTTTAGTTTCCTCTTCTCTTCCTCACTGTTGTGTCGTTCGGGCTGTTTTGCTGTGTACGCAGTTACAGCAAGAGGAGTTATAGCCAATTCTGCTAACATGCTACTGTGCTTACCTGCGCTGTAGAGGCGAGAGGACGCAGGCTCGGTCTGTGAGTGGAGCAGGATGATCGGCCCGCTAGTCTCCACTCAGCACTTCAGCCTCAATTCATACAAGCTGAATCAATGAGCTCAAGTTATCAATTAAATTACAGATTATAATACAACTTGTATGTAATAATAATCATTTTTATGAACTCATTAGAAAAAAAATTGGGTATAGCTTCTTTAACAAAACGACAACAAAAAACCTTCCGACTTCCCTTTAACTTAATAGATCAAGATCATCCAACCAGATAGACTAAAACAACACAAGCTGTGTATAAATATTACAATGCTTCAGTTGGATATCTACAAAATAACTGTCTTTTAAATAATATTTTGAAATCATACATATTATGGAAACGTTTTAAACCAGCTCCCATACGATTCCATAATTTTACTACGCATATAGATACACAAAAACTTTTCTTTGATGTTCTAGCAAAAGGCACTTTTATGTTCTACTTAGATTAGAAACTCACAATAAAGCCTTTGAATGTTTCCTGGTAGTTTGCTTTTTGCTTGACTTGTGCAGTTTGGTAGGAGTTTAAATCATTTAGTTTGAGTAAATGAGCAAAAAAAGTAACATGCAAAGTCTACACAGGAAGGCCTGGAGGTGGAATCGAACCCAGGACCTTCTGACAGTGAAACAAGCTCTAACCGCTGTGACAGTCTCTAATGATCTCTGTGGTCTCTTATGTGTCTAATTGTCTCTGATGGTCTCTAATTGTCTCTTAATGTCTCTGGTATCTGATGATCTCTGGCCTTTGATGGTCTCTAATGGTCTGTGATTGTTTCTGATGGTCTCTGATGATTACTAACGGTGTATTGTGGTCTGTCTCTAATGGTCTCTGTCTCTAACGGTCTCTGGTCTCTAGTCGAGGTCTGATACCCCAGAAAAAAAATGCACATAATTATTACAGTAATTTTTGTTAATATTTTTCACGAGGAGTTAGCGGACATGTGTGCCTTTTAATATGAGCGGCCTTTGTGGGAATGGTTATATTTAAAGTATTAGAGTAAAATTAGTTTGTGAAACACCTGCGGCGCAGCGACGCGAAGCAGGAGCCGTAGTTCTGAGCGGAGCCAGAGCAGAGCCTGAGGTCTCCAGAGATCAGAGAAGTATTTGGTACAGACTGACTCAGATTCAGAGGAGGAAGACACGCAGGTGTCCAGTGAAGCAGACACAGACATTGGGCCTCATTCACGAACGGTTCTTAGGAACAGATTTGTACGTAAATCCTACTTACGCGGTTTTTACGAAGAAAGTGGCATTCACGAATTTTTCTCGTAACCAGAATTTCTCTTGGGCAAGTACAAATCCTACGAGTCCTCAGGAGCACTCGTACGCATTCAGTGCCGACATGTTCACACGCTGGGGTTGTCCTCTTTGGTGAAGTTGAATAAAAATACAACATTCCAGTGATATGTCCGTCATATCGATGTATGTATTTATTTATTTGTAGTAATCTTTATTAGTAATCTTTATTTATATACCGCCTTTTTCACTGCAGATCTGGCCTACTTTTTAATTCATTTTGAAATGAAATGTGCCAACGCTTTATCAAATACATTGGAAATCTTGCCGTGTATTAGTGACCCCTTCCTATTTATAGGGGGCATTTCTTTATCCACGGGCCACAGAACAACGGCATATATACTGCTGCTGCAGGAGGTTACTGGGTCTCTGCGCTGGTCTCTCCTATGGATCTATACGGGTCTGCGCTGGTGTCTCCCATATACGGGTCTGCACTGGTCTCTCCCATGGATCTATACGGGTCTGCACTGGTCTCTCCCATATACGGGTCTGCACTAGTCTCTCCCATGGATCTATACTGGTCTGCACTGGTCTCTCCATACGGATCCGCGCTGGTCTCTCAAGTCTGGTCTATGCGGTCTCTCTTCGGTCCGCGCTGGTCTCTGCGCACCGGTCTCTCCAGTCAGGTCACTACAGTCTATGCGGTCTCTCCAGTCAGGTCACTCCAGTCTATGCGGTCTCTCCTATAGGTCCGCGCTGGTTTCTGTGTGCTGGTCACTCCAGTCTCTCCTCGGGTCTGCATTGGTCTCAGCGCTGGTCCGCGCTGGATCTCCTCCCAGGGTCCAAAATATTTTGAGATTAATCTCAAAACATTTTGAGATTCATCTTTAAAATAATACATAATATATTTTTAAATTAAGCTCATAACATTTTGAGATTAATCTCATCATATTCTTAGATTAATCTCATAATTTTGCTAGTTCGACTTTATTATCATAATATTTCGACTTTTAAGTCAACATTTTATAACTTTATTCTCAGTCTGGTAAAAGAAGAAAAAAGGGTGACTTTTGCTCCGTGTAAAGGCCTGTTGCTGTTTCCTCTGCCGTCTGCACACGGCCCTGCAGTCCCTTATATGGGCATTAGTGGGCGGTTACTTATGCTAAGTACCTATGCTAATGAAGCACCTGGCACGCGCGCTCTACTTACGAGGAAATGGGATTCATCAATCTGAGAGAACAGCTGCGAACAATTCAGCGGCTTACGAGTGCGTTGATGAATCCCACGTGGGGACTTCTTAGAAATCTACTTAAGGACAACTTGAGAAGAAAGTTGAGTAGTTTCTTACGAAGTTATTCGTGAATGAGGCCCATTATTAGTGACAGGAGTCCGCGCCACAACAGTCCACAGTCAGCGTCCTCCGTGTGGCCCCGTGGTAAAGAGGTCCGCACATTAAAAGCGGATAGTCGCTTTATGCAGTAACATTGGAAAGAGAAGATGCAGGGATGAGCCGCCACAATGCACTTTTTAACATAAAGCGGCCACCCGCTTTTAATGTGCGGACCTCTTTACCGCTGACTCCGAAAACCTGGGCCTCTTTCCCGCGGTGTGTGGCCGCAGTGGAAACATTCTGCGAACGCCAGGCAGGGGACATGGTGAAGGGGACAGGGGGGTCATAACACCGGGCATGTGGGTGAATGCAGCGGGGATAAACAACCGCGGGGAACGCAGGAGACGTGGCAGAAGCCACGGAAAAAAACACACCGCTAATCTGCCTTTACGGACAGCGATGATGATGAAGGCAGAGAGAAAGAAAATCCATAAAAGTGGCTCAGAAGTGTTGAAGAGCCTGTTGTTTATTGTTGAGACAATCTGACAAGTTCTGAGCCCATTCATGTAATCGCTCTGTTTCTAAACGATGACTTCTGGAGCCTCATTTCCACTGAGACAAACTGTATGCCACCAGGTCTTTTGAAAGGGTAATATTGAAACCAAAGTGCAGATTTCATGACTGGTAAACTATAAGCAGTGCCATCTTGATCATTGAAGGTCTAATATATGATACAATTCCATATGGCTGCTGACCAGTGCTAAAATATTCTATACAAATTGGATCAGTGAATTTATTTCTATCCCACATTGTGTTTTCATACTAAAGATATTTCACGTAGACTGTTGACAGTATTCCCAGATCTCAAAATACACTCTCAAACTACAGCTTTTTGAAATCTTTATACAATAATTAACATTTTCCAAAATGGCCACCACCTTGATGACGTCACAATATGCAAATTAGATGACGAATCAACATCCATCCCAAAGTTTGGTTCATACTGAAGGTATTTCTCATTTACAATATGCCTTCATCTCAAACTACTTTAAAGTTATAGCCTTTTGAAATTGTAACATTTTTTGAAAGAAATGGGCTTAGTGCTGTATGAAAATCCCTCGTCAATGGCCTGGGCTCCGCACTGTGCTCCTCTTTGCTGTCGTCGTTGCAACATATCCAGAAGTTCAACTTTTTAGCACTAACCATGTTGTAGGCTTAGTCCATGGTTTTGTCAAGGAGAAAATTAGCATACAACACTTACAGTCACACTGCAATCAGACATGGATTTACATTTGTCAGTGTGAATGCTGTGATGTACAGGAAACACGGCACAGAGATTACCCCTTAGCCAATCGGGACGCAGAACATAATACACTGGTTCTTCCTTAGCCAATCAGGATAAACATTGCAAGTTCATATACAGTGAAAATCATGCTACAAATAAATCTGCAAGACCGCAAAAAGAGAACCGCTATTCATCTGAGGAGACTCCGATTCAGAATAAAGAATAACACATTTTTCCTGTACGGAAGTTTCTGATTTGGTGTTTGTATGTAATTTTTTTACTATCATGTTTTAGATTATAGATTAGAAGGTGAGCCAGATCAGATATATCCCAATGAAAATAATGTTTTTGCACTTTATGGTGTGAGAATTGTATACATGCATGTGTAAGAAAATTGAGGCCATGGCTTGGGGGGGACTGATCCCCCCCATCCCCCCCTCTGGAGCAAACCCTGGTCTAGTCTCTAACAGTCTCTGATGGTCTCTTCAGGTCGGTAGATCAGGACACTGCTCGGTGGAAGACGCCCGAGCCGCTCTGGACTTGTATAAACTGGTGGAAGGCGAGTGGGAGAGAGAGATGCAACTGCAGCTGATGGACGAGCAAGACCCGACCCCCCCAGCGTACGCATCATCACAGCATTTCCTGAATGACCAGTACTGGCCCGCCCATTTCTGAGGCTGCGATGGTAACAGGACACGCCCACTTCTGGGGTTGCCATGGTAACCCAATATTGGCCAAGAAGAATGAAACATGGACAGATACTTCAGAACTGGAGAAAAGTTTATTTATTATTTTCTGATCTGAGAATGAATAATCCATCATGTGAATAAATAAATATATAACAGACTGATGTCTCTGGCCTCTCTAGTCACCAGTCGTAAGCATCTCTCCAGAGGTCAGGAGGTCATCTCCGTATTTTACATGTTACTACATTACTCTATATCCATAAACTTGACATGAGTAATGGGGAGGAGCAGGGTGATGAGCAACCAGACATGAAATCACTGACCTCTGATGGACACATGTAATTACTGCAGCTTCATTAGAACTGGATTAAAGCTGCGGGTCTACAGGTGGACCTGCCGGGTCCTCGAGGGGGGATGATAGTTATTTCTACAGAAACAAAGACTCATTTGGATCAAGTCTTTTATTCACATCTGAAGTTACAGTTTGAGACCCAAAAGAAAGCTGTTAAAATCCTGAAGCCAGTTCAGATCTAAAGACTGGGGTCTATGTACCGTTCAGACCTTAGAGCTTGGGTTTACGTCTCAGACTGATCCATGATTAAACTATTATAAAAACTATAACAACTGTTGAATCCAGCGGCGACGAAACCGGTTGTCTCAGAAATGATTTACATAAATATTCTCTTCAAAGTCCAGTCCTGAAGTACCGCGGTCTGCCTGAGACCAGACCAGAGCGACCAGCAGAGTACAGAAGGCAGCGTTTAAATGGGTTCAGTCTGGTCTAGCTCGAGTCTTGAGTACAGTCATGGGGTCTGGTTTGTAGTCTCGGGTCGGTTCTTGGGTCTGGTCTAGGGTCCAGGGAGATGTGGGTTGATGATTTTTGGTTCAGAGCTGGTCTTGCTCCTGTTTCCTTCTTGTAGATCGTTTGTGGCGATTTCTTTCTTCTGAAAAACACAAGGTTAGAGTTCAAAAGAGAAGAAGAATTGGGACTAAAACTAGATCCTACTGCAGCCCAAGCTGGTCCTGACTGTCCACCCCAGCCCTCAAGATCCAAGAATTTATTTGCCATTTGCAGTAAAACCATTGGAAAAACTGCAAGACTACCCCAGTGTGCTCCAGAGCTCCTGCCACGGTGCCATGTTATGGCACCATGCAACTCTCCTCCCATACCCCACCCCAGTCCTCTCCTCCATACCCCCACCCCAGTCCTCTCCTCCATACCCCCACCCCAGTCCTCTCCTCCCATACCCCACCCCAGTCCTCTCCTCCATACCCCCACCCCAGTCCTCTCCTCCATACCCCCACCCCAGTCCTCTCCTCCATACCCCCACCCCAGTCCTCTCCATACCCCACCCCAGTCCTCTCCTCCATACCCCCACCCCAGTCCTCTCCATACCCCCACCCCAGTCCTCTCCTCCCATACCCCCACCCCAGTCCTCTCCTCCCATACCCCCACCCCAGTCCTCTCCTCCCATACCCCCACCCCAGTCCTCTCCTCCATACCCCACCCCAGTCCTCTCCATACCCCACCCCAGTCCTCTCCTACCTCTCCTACCATACCCCCACCCCAGTCCTCTCCTACCTCTCCTACCATACCCCCACCCCAGTCCTCTCCTACATACCCCACCCCAGTCCTCTCCTCCATACCCCACCCCAGTCCTCTCCATACCCCACCCCAGTCCTCTCCTACCTCTCCTCCCATACCCCACCCCAGTCCTCTCCATACCCCACCCCAGTCCTCTCCTCCATACCCCACCCCAGTCCTCTCCTCCATACCCCACCCCAGTCCTCTCCATACCCCACCCCAGTCCTCTCCTACCTCTCCTACCATACCCCCACCCCAGTCCTCTCCTACCTCTCCTACCATACCCCCACCCCAGTCCTCTCCTACATACCCCACCCCAGTCCTCTCCTCCATACCCCACCCCAGTCCTCTCCTACCATACCACCACCACTCTGGGAGTGAACATGGGCAATAGCTAAGGACACACTGAGAACACGTCTCAGAGAATGCCTTAAATAACTACTATTAAGTCTCTAAAAAGTGCCTTTATACGGAGTGAAACAAAGTTAACAGCGTTACGCACGGCCATGCCCTGGAATCTGCGCAAAAAGAATCAACTTTTGGGAGACATGCTCCAAACTAAGAGATGCAGAGGAGTGAGGCGCGGGATCATTCATCCAGCAACACTGATCATGACATTCAAAGGTGATACTAAAAAGTTTACAGAGAACACTGCAGCGAATATCTATTTCAAAAGTGTAATTGAGCCTGGACTAGAGAAGAAAGGATAAGAGAGACATGATAAAGGTTCTCTGGATACGATATGAAAAAAGAATAAATAACAGTCAAACATATGACTAAGACACTTTTTTCCGTTCATTACAATGCTGATGTGTGTGTTTATCGATGCTCTTTGAAGACTCTGTGTGGAACCATGTACAGTATTGTTCAGAAAACAAAATTATATTAATTTAGGAAAATGTGGGTTTAAGCTCAATTAAATGTGTGCAGCTTAAGAAATAAAGTGAATGACATGCAAGAATTATTGCTGATCTGTCATTTACAAGTGTTACTATTATCCGAAACTGCTTTAAGATTAGAAGGATACAATATTTACAGATTAGATTTACAGAGTAGTAGAAATGATCTCAATGTTATAGGAGTGGAAGTAATGTGGGTACAACTGCCTGATAGGAAGCCTGTTCTTATTGGATGATGTTACCAACCACCAAGTTGGACAGGGCATGTGATAGTAAAAATGAAATATTCTTTCTAGGAGATTTAAACACAGACTTGAAATCTCAGGGTTGCAGTTTGATAAGCAGACCTGTCATCCATCACAGCTGGTCAGTGATGACATCAGGATACATGATGTACACATTCAGCAACATTAATTGATTTAATTTTTACAAATGTGCCAGAGTTATGCTCTGAGGCTATGTCCATTCCAGCTGTGCAGTGACCGTAGTTTAACTGCAGTTATTAGAAATACAAAAGTTCAAAAACTTGGCCAATTAATAGGAAGTATTTAACGCTTTATTCACAAAAGTCATAGATAAACATGCTCCACTGAGAAAACAAGCAGTTAGAAATGTCTCCGCTCCATGGATCGATCAAGAACTAAAAGTGTATATGAGCAAATACAACACTATTTATTCATTTGTTCACAAACATTTAACTATGGAAACTATCTAACTAAACTGAATAGACGTGTTAATGGTTACTTCCGGGTTTTTCGCGATCGCTTTTTGTCACATTAAAATAGTAATTTGGTCATGAAAACGATAACAAGAAATTCTGAAAATGTCCGTGCACGTGTGTTAAGGATGTATATGTTTACTGTATTGTCCGATTAACATTTAATGGTGTTGATTGATAGATATGTAGTTGTTTATTGAGCGTGGCTAGCTCGGCTAGCTCAGCTAGCTTCTCTCGTTGTACTTGCAAAGTAATGGCAGTATTTTACACACCTGAATTACAAACAGAGATTGCATTGTCAAAGGGCAGCTGTCATTATTGGCTACAAATGTACACAATTTGATTATTTCCTTTGCAAGTCTGTATATATTTATGTATCTATGTGTTGTTGTAAGGTACGTTATTATTTTTCTTCCCTTCCATTCCACCTCCCCAGTCCTCCCTTCCATACCACCACTCCAGCCCTCTCCTGCACCTGTCACACACAGAGCTGAGGTGTGGGACAAATGTGATTAACAGCCCACTCACCTGTACACTCCACCTGAGGCTCCTCCCACTGGCCGTTGTCTCCACAGCGTACAACTGGCAGGTGGCGCTGTGTGAAGCCTGGGTCACACTGGTATCTGACGATGGAGCCAGCCACATAGCGCTCCCTGACACCCCCTAGTGCTCGTGCATGTGGTACTGCAGGAGGGGCGCCACACGAGACTGCACGCAGAGAAAAGGCATCAGGTGGCAACTCTATGTGTTTAGCGTGAGGGGAAACCGGAGATATGCGACACAGGGAGAACATGCAAATAGCACACAGAAAGGCCCTGTCCTTGTAGGGTAACAGAGATAGTTAGGGTCACCTGGTGCACTCTTGCAGGTGAAGGGAAGCTGGTAGGTACAGGGCACGTCATTCCACTGTCCAGCTTCATGCCAGATCATCACCACACAGTCCTCTCCGGCCCCAAAGTAATGATCGGGCTGATTGGGCCTCCAGTTCAGGAATGTCTGAGGGAGACAGGATTACTGTACAACTTCTGATCCTAAAGGTCAGCTCTATTGTGTGTGCACAGAGTGAGTTCCGTACTGACCAGAGCGGCGCCGTCCGTCCACTTGAACTCTCCCTGGACGTCTTTGTCATTGAGGCCGATCCACTGATAGTCCTGACCATGAGCTGTGGGAGCAGAGCAGAGGACATTACTTTACAGTTTGTGTACCTCACCCCTGACCTTACTCCTGACTTCACTCCTGACCTTACTCCTGACCTAACTCCTCACTCCTGACCTTACTCCTGACCTCACCCCTAACCTTCACACAGCAGAGAGCTTCCATCCCCCACAGAGAGGCGTGGCTTGAGAGAAGCCGCTTTTATGCCAGATTGTGTATGGAATGGGGCATGGTCTCACAGTTGAGGAAGAGCTGCTCCTCCTCTGATTGGACACTGGTCAAGTGGGCGTCGGCTTGCACACACATTTGCTCCGCCTCCGTCCAGGTGAGTCTGTCGCTGACGTGAAGGTAACAGGAACCAGAGAAGAAAAGCCAACCGTCTACACAACCGTCTGCTGAAAAACAACACACAACAAATCAGAATCAGAATCATTTTTATTGCCATGTAAGTAACAGGAAGTCACAGACTTGGAAATTGCTTTGGCTCAGTGCAACAGTCAGACATACAGACGCACTCTCTCACACACACACACACACTCACCTGTGACCAGTGCTGGTGGCTCCACGGCTGCAGGGGGCAGCAGAGACACTGAGGGGGCTGTCGTGGGGCTGGTGTAGGCTGCAGCCTGAGTCACAGCCTCTGATTGGTGGAAGTCAGGCTTGTCCAGCTCTGATTGTTCGATGGCTCTTCCGCTGCTTCCTGTAGATGAAACATTGTGTTGTAAAACCCGTCCTTCACCCCGATGACATCACCCCTGCTCCAGAGACCGAAGAGAGGGATTTGTTTTGGTGATCTCCTCTGGAGGAAGACCAGGTTGTGACCTCTGCTTAACACTGTTGCAGGCTTTGTCCTCAGGTGGAAGTCCCTTGTTTCTGCTGGTCTCTGGGCACACCTAATACCATGCGGTGTGGGCAGGGTTCGTGAACCAGGCTAACTCCTAGCATGACTGAGTCGAGGGTTAAGTTCTGCTCTTTAATTGGCTGTTACCTGAGGAGGAGGCGTGGTCCCCGCTGTAGTGCACTTGGCCCCGCCCTTCTTGTTCCTGGCTCCAGGACAGACTCTTGTTCAGCTCAGCGACCGTCACGTACACAACATCTCCCCTGAGGCGCTGCCAGGGCTCCAGGGCTGAGGCTGAAACGGCCAGCACAGGGACTCAACACACAGGGACTAAGCACACAGGGACTCAACACACAGGTTCAAGTATTCAGAGAAGGACTTGTTTAATCATGATATAAATGTGAGATACATACCTACTCCAGAGGAGCTGCTGAGCCCAGACCCGACCTGCAGAGACCCAGAGAGCTCCTGCCCTGAGGTCTGGTCTAAAGTGTGGTCCACAAGAGTCTGATCCACAAACTGCACCTCAGAAAGTCCAGATCCGGAGACCCCAGACCCCGAAACCCCAGACCCAGCTGAGCTGCTGTACACCACCCTGCCTCGGCCCTCTTGCTCTGCAGTCTGCTCTGGGGTCTGGCCTACAAAAATCCCATCCACAAACTGCACTGGAGATATCCCAGACCCCGAAGACCCAGATCCTGATGGCCCAGATGAAGAGTACCCGGAGCCACTGTAGACCACTCCCCCTCGACCTTCCTGTCCAAATCCGGACACAGTAATCTGCTTCTTCGACCCACTATCCACAAGGATCACCTCAGAACCACTTTGACCTGACCCAGACCCAAGACCAGACAAAAGACCAGACCCGGACGGAGACCCAGACCAAAGACCAGAGACAGAATCTTCACCTGCAGAGAACACAGATTTAAAATCTGAATCTACAAATGTTCAGTGGACAGTCCTGGACTGAGCCTCAGTCCTGTATTTACAGCTTCAGTCCTGTATCTACAGCCTCAGTCCTGGGTCTACAGCCTCAGTCCTGGGTCTACAGCCTCAGTCCTGGGTCTACAGCCTCAGTCCTGGGTCTACTGCCTCAGTCCTGGGTCTACAGCCTCAGTCCTGGATCTACAGCCTCAGTCCTGGATCTACTGCCTCAGTCCTGGATCTACAGCCTCAGTCCTGGATCTACAGCCTCAGTCCTGGATCTACAGCCTCAGTCCTGGATCTACAGCCTCATTCTGGACAATGTTAGGATTGATTAAGTGAAGGACAAACCAGATGGTTGTCCCCCAGATCCTGTTTCTCCTGTGGCCTCCTGAGCTCTTCTGGCTGTGGGCAGGTCCTTGTCTCCAGAGACAAACATCACACCGGAGCCTTCAGCAGATCCAGATCCAGAGACCTGACCCGAGCCGAACCCAGAGTCATGATCTGGCGCTGAGCCGACTCCACTTTCTCCAGATGGATCTCCTGAAGCAGAGGTCTCCAGCTCGGGTGTGAGGGTGGGGAACGCTGTGGAGAACAGTAGATGAAGGACGCTGTGGTCAGATGTTGTTATCTGACCCTACTGACCTGTGGGTGCCACCTGCTGTTCTGGGACCGTAACTGCGCGGATCACCTCTTCCGTCACTGCCAGCATTGTCACAGCAACATCCTCTGTAACCGTGAGCATTGTTACTGTAACCTCCGGCTCATCTGTTGGCACGGCAACAGTGGCAACGTTATGTTGTATTTTGCACAAGATACAAATCCAAAGGAAGATGATTTACCTGGAGTAAATCCTGTGGGGGTGGAGCCTGTGGGGGCGGAGTCTGTGGGGGTGGAGCCTGTGGGGGTGGAGTATGTGGGGGCGGAGTCTGTGGTCACCTCAGTCACATTCACCTCTGACAAAATATGTGTTCATCAAAATCATGTTTTTATTTTTACGAGGAGATAAGTCAAGTTTCTGCTGCTGCTTCTGCGACTACTACTATTACTACTACTACTGCTGCTGTTACTGCTACTACTACTACTACTTTTGTTATTTCAAGGATTGAAAGGATTCAGCTTAAACTAAATGAACTGTTCCTGTATCTGTTTATGCTAGGGTTCTATAGGGTCCAATCTCCTCACCCCTGTAGCAGTAAGCGTCGTAGCGAGAATGCACATCTGGGAAGCCCGTCTGGTTGGGGAAGGCGTGGATGGTCAGGACTCCTGTGGTTCCCTGGCCGCAGTGTGGGCGGGGCTTGTTGACAGGGTAACGCACAGACCCGTCACGTAACCATCCGGGTTTGCACTGGTCTAGCCCCGCCTTCCACGCCGCGTACAGTTGCCCCAGAGACGCCAGCGACGCGTTGAGCTGTGCACAGTGATGATGCGCTTCATCCAGAGAGAAGCTGTCGTAGTCACTGGAGAAGAAGACCTCCCCTGCAGACCATTAGCACCATAAGCATCATTAGTACCGTTAGCAGTATTAGCATAATTATAAAGGAGAAGACCCCCCATCTTAAGCATCATTAGCACTGTTAGCTCTAGCATTAGCATCATAAACCCAAACCATTCACACCATTAACTGCCGCAGGGAAATCATCCCCACCGCTGTCAGACTGTACAATAAGTCACTTTAAAGTAACAATATGTACAGTAAGACTTGCATGTCAAGTCATCATTAAATGGCCCTTTCATTTCATTTCATTATCTGCCACCCCCCCTGGGTCGCGGGGGTGGCAATCAGAGCTGCCACCCAAGTCTCTTAGCACCAGTCCCTCACAGACCCTCCTGCAGGTGGTGGGTCCACGGGAAGATGGCTTCTCCGTCAGCAACAAGATGGCCTTGATCTTTCAGTGGGGGCTTCAGGCAAAGTGGGGTTAAGTGTCTTGCCCAGGGACACAACGACAGCAAACATCAGTGACATGGGTCATGGTGGGCTCGAACCCACGACCATTAGGTCCAGAGACCAGTGCTCTACCAACTGAGCTACTGTCGCCCCTTAAATGGCCCTTATCTGTCAAAAGGCATTAATAAACCATGCTCTTTTTGAATACTTCTATAAACAGTAGTTCAGCCGAGATATTTGAATTTCAAAATGTGTTTTACAGCTCCTAAATCTTGTTATTATTTCCATTTCAATGTCCCGCGACTCCCGCCCTCCACCATTATACTAATCAGAAAGTCCGTGATCCGGACACCAGAACTCAGTAATCTCACTGGTAAAGTAACATGTGACCGCAGGAATAAAAAAAGTCTTGTTATGATTCTCAAATCAATAACTACAAAACAAGGAATAAAAAGAGGATTTCTATCAGGGCCTTTGTGAAAAAGGTGTTGGTTATAGAACCGGGAGGACCAGACGATGCCCAAATACAGATGAGTTTCCCATGGGTCTTTGCGAGTTCCAGGCGACTTCCGCTAATCTTTTTGGCACCCATGCCGGCACAAGGCGCCACTGAGCACAACCATTCATTTGAATACGGCACCATCTTGGATCGCCGGGGCTTGGCTAAATGACACTGGTAGCTTAAGATGGACACATTTTTGACACATTACAATCTACAGTTAAACGCTGAGGTTTATATACCAGTAAAAGTTTGGGAATCAGTGTTTTAACATCTTCTGTGTGTGCTCTCACCCTGTAGTCCGTCCACATAACAGTAAACGTCATATTTCTCAAACAGGGGTCTCACTCCGTATGATCGGACTCCAGGAACCAACAGGGATCCACCACAGTGCTCTCTGGGGGAGACGACGGGGTACCTGCATAGGTCACAGAGAGGTCACAGAGAGGTCACAGAGGTCAGTCACGGTGATGTCGCAGAGGTCACAATCACCTGACTGTCTGGTCACGGAGCCAGCCTGCGTCACACTGGTGAAACCCGTTCTGGAACGCCGTCTGCAGTTGCTCAGGACTTGCAATGACTCCACCCACATTCACACAAGTTTTCGCGGCCTCCTCAAATGTTAGCTCGTATCGCCCCCTGGGGGAGCGGTAGTGGAACACTACGCCTGAAACAGAAACCACTGAAGATTAGAGAGACCCTCAAGAAGACCAACACACTCAAGAAGACCCCCAACTTCAATTGAATTTGAGAAACGTGAGAAAACATTAAGGGAGGGATCCACTCACAGCAGAAGTCAGCTGTGAGTACAGGGTGTGGCTCACCTGTGGGGTCTCATGGCCATGGATCTATTATAATAACTGGATAGGGTATTACTAGCTTGGAGCTGAGGGAGCCATGTGCTCGGGGGATTCTCGCGGTACTGCAGACTAAACTAGACTAAATTCACGTGGGCTACTGATAATGGAATTGTTTGGGTTTTCATTAAAATGTATGTGAATGTAATCTTGAGATAATATAGTCTAGACAACTTGAGGTTTGACCCAATTCAGGTGTTTAAACCAAGCTAATAATTATCCACAGTTGGGGCTTTTTGTGAAACTTATGTGGCAAAAAGTTGTCCAACAAGTGGTTAATGTGTTACTTCACCTAGTTTTGGGCTTTTCCATGTGTGTTGGAGGTGTGTTTATCTTTCAATAAAACTCACTTCGTGCGAGCAGTGAGGCAGTAGTGACTGGGGGAGAATGATGTAAAGCAGCATGGTTCTGACCACTGTAAGAAACTTCTCCTTGTCTGACTTGTATGGTTTTGTCCAGGTGCGGTAGTTTTTAACTAGCTTTAACATTTTTTGGTCCTTCGAGCCAAATGTCAATACACTTCCTCCAGAAGCTGAGTGAGCTCAAACCTGGAGTTGTGGAGCAGCGTGACTCTGGGTCACAGGGAGAGGACTACAGAGTCTCCAGTTTTGAGGTTTGATCAGTTTCCGGATTGAAGTTGACGGCAGAACTACAGTTTCTGGACAGCCACATCGGACAAGGTAAAACAAAAAGTAACTAAATTCAAATGGTCTTTGAAGGCAGGTGATCCAATGTATCTCCTCAAAAGGCATTGAGGCAGTGAGGATGTCACGCACGTCGGAAAAGTGCTCATTTTGAGGAAATTGGAGCGTCTGAGAGTGGTGATAGATCTTCAGCTGATTAATGACTTTTTGGTAGAACTTTGTGGTAACCAGCATAAAAAGATGACAACATTTATCTAAATAATAATTGAAATTCGAAATTGAAATTCTTAAAAATAGAAGCTTTTTGTGCACACTGTCTGTCTTTATGTGTACTTCTTTGTATTTTATGTGAGTAACTGTTTATCTGTTTATGTGTAAGATGTCTTATGTAAGTGAGTGTCTTCTGTGTCTAGGACTTAACTGACTAAACTAACAGACGAAAAATAGGAATAAACATCAGGACTAAAATATTATTTCACAAATGATATGAAACAGGGTAAAATCAACAGAATTTTCAACTAATGTTTTCTTCTGTCTCTAAGTTTGTGTCTGTCTCAGCTGAGAGAGAGACGTCTGGGGGTGTTTGGTCGTTCCCGGCACAGCATCACTGAGGCACATGCTTCCCCTCACTCTGACCAGAGAGAGATCTGGGAGCAGGAGCAACTCAGAGGAGCAGGAGGATGGGGAGAAGCATCGGCAGTGGAGGTGCTGTGGATGGGAACGAGGAGCCAGACCCCTAAGAATGTCCTTTCTGACTAATGCTGACACAGGAACAATCAGATAAGTGGAAAACACTCTGCAAAATAAGCAGTTTAATTTTCAGATTTTAATAATAATAATGTTTAGTTTCATTTGAAGGGTTTAAATATAACAGTAAGGGAAGCTACTGTAGCATGTTTAATGGTTTAATGGTTTATTGGTTTATTGGTTCAATAGTTAATTGTGATGTGTTCATTTCTGACACAAGAAAATATACAGAAATGGGACTGTCTTCAGCAACGGTTTTAATTAACTGTCTGACTGGGGCAGAACGATGTAAAGCAGCATGGTTCTGACCTCTTTCAATCAGTGGTGAGTAATTCAATTACTCACCACTGTAAGAAACTTTTCCTCGTCTGACTTGTATGGTTTTGTCCAGGTGCGGTAGTTTTGAACTAGCTTTAACAGCTACCCAGAAATTTTCCCCATAGAACTCAATGTAAACTAAAACAGCTCGACCTCAGCTGACAGAAAATCTACAGCTTTTACAAAGGCCGGATTTTGTGGGGATTTTAGTGTCCCTTATCATCCTGAACTTTTTTTCTTCTTAAATCCGTCGATTTTCTTTAAATCCACACTTTAGTACCACAAAATCTGCTGTTTTCCTTCCCGCTCTGACTCCGCTCTACCGCCGCTCTGATCAGCAGTGCTGATTGGTCAAAACGCCGCCGAACCCCTCTGTGCGCGTGCATAAGAGCCACACACACGTATTTGACGTAACGCATCATGGGAGTTCATCCACTGAGCAGAACCGGGAGGACCAGACGATGCCCAAATATATGCGAGTTCTGCTAATATGTCAGCTCCCGTGCCGGCACATGCGCCACTGAGCACAAACCATTCATTTGAATATGGCGCCATCTTGGATCGCCGGGGCATGGGTATGGCTCACCTGTGGGTGCGTGGCTCTCAGGTGGGTGGATGGTGATGACATTTCCTCCTTTCACCTCCTCTCCTGTGGCAAGTCCAGGGTCCTCTCCCTCTGAAATACAGAGGTCAGGGTAAGAGGTCAGGATCACAGGTGAGCAAGAGGAGTTTACTTTTACATGTACAATTCTCATATTTAAATATAAAAACTATTCACAGAAACAAACGGGCTGCATTCCATGCGTAGATCAGTTTCTTTTTCAAAAACAACAGTTGACGCATCATTAATCTGGCAAGGCAAGGCAAGGCAAGTTTATTTATATAGCACAATTCATACACAAGGCAATTCAAAGTGCTGAACAAAACAAGAAAGCATTAAAATCATAAATAATCACAGAACATTGAAAAGAAAGATAAAAATATAAAATCCCTCAGTTGTATGCACAGCTAAACAGAACTGTCTTTAACCTGGTTTTAAACATTGTCAGAGAGGAGGCCTGTCTCACATCTTCAGGAAGATTGTTCCAGATTTTAGCAGCATGAATCTGAAAAGCAGCCTCCCCATGTTTAGTCCTGACTCTGGGCACTAACAGGAGTCCAGTCCCTGTGCTCCTCAGAGTCCGGGCTGGTTCATATGGGACTAACATGTCACTAATATATTTTGGTGCGAGGCCATGGAGAGACTTGTACACAAGCAGAGCTGTTTTAAAGTCTATTCTCTGAGCCACAGGAAGCCAGTGCAGAGACCTGAGGACTGGACTAATGTGGTCGTACTTCCTGGTTCTAGTCAGGACTCGAGCTGCTGCATTTTGAATGTACTGCAGCTGTTTTACAGCCTGTTTGGACAGACCTGTGAGCAGACCATTGCAGTAGTCTAACCTACTGGAGACAAATGCATGGATAAGAATCTCCAAGTCTGCTTTAGACACTATGTTTTTGATCCTGGCAATGTTTTTTAGATGGTAAAAAGCTGCTGATGTTACTGATTTGATGTGGCTATTAAAATTTAAGTCTGAGTCCAGTATTACCCCTAAATTTCTGACCTTGTTTGAAGGTTTTAGGGAGAGAGATTGTAGGTGACAGATGACGCTCTCTCTTTGTTTCTGGGGACCAAAGACAATCATTTCAGTTTTGTCTGCGTTTAGCTGAAGGAAGTTGTTTTGCATCCACTCACTGATCTGTTGGATACAGTGAAGGAGTGAGTCCACTGGTCCATGTTGTCCTGCAGTCAGTGAGACATAGATCTGAGTGTCGTCTGCATAGTTATGATAGGACACTTCGTTTCTGCGTATTAACTGACCTAACAGCAGCATGTAGAGATTGAACAGAAGAGGTCCCAGAATCGACCCCTGTGGTACTCCACAGGTCAGGGCCATATGATCTGAGACACAGTCTCCAATCTCCACAAATCTGTAACTCTAGTGCTTATCCACTGAAACCAGTAACACCAAGGAAGCAAGATGTAACGCTCTGAACCAATGAGAAGTCAGGAAACACATTGAGCCAATGAAATGTTTTGATACCGACACAGTTGATATGTGTAGGGAAGCAGCGGCTGCAGAGTCCGAGACACTGACACGTTTGTCACATGACCGGTTGTTTTGATACGCGCTCCAATGCAGTGTTTCGAAGCAGTTTGCTTCAGAAAGAGCAACTCAAGCTCCGGAGCATCAGTGTCATTTGCCCATAACTAATATCTACTCAAAAGTTCTAAGACTTTCATGTGAGAAGTAAGTAGATTGACTCATCACCTCACAAACAAAGTGCGAGTAGCAATCACACTAACTAGGGCTACAGAGTAATAAAATTAAAAAAATAAAAAATAGCCTAGGCCAGAATAAGATATGCTATTTTATACCCAGGGTATAAACTAGTCAAGGGGGTATATAACGGCCTGTTACACCGGCTCAAAAGAAATCCTCCTCATTGTTGAAAATATTGAATTCATTTAAACTATACAAGGCGTACGCTGTATTGAAAATTGTTTTTACTCGAAATAAAAGTTTTACCAAGCCGCAAAAAGCTCCCATATGTGTCAGTTGTCTAACTTATAGGAGAAAAACACTTCCTGTCCTATGGCCCCCTGCCACACCTCCTCCGGATCATGTGATTGCAACCCAGCAATACAGGCTGTGGTTACTATGGTTACACTCACCTGTAAAGCAGATGGCATGGTAGCGGGCGTCGTCGCCAGGGAAACCCGTCTGGTTGTCATGGAGATAAATGGTACGCACCCCTGTCTCCCCCCCTCCACACTGGAGGCGGGGCTTATTGATGGGGTACCTCACACTGTGGTCCATCAGCCAACCAGCACTGCACACATCCATGCCCCGACCCCAGGCCAGGTAGAGCTCACCTGCAGCCAATCAGAGAAGGAGAACTTAGCCACACCTCCTTAATTGATCAAATAAGGAAGTGGAGCTTAGTTCGATATAGGCAGGGCTTAGTCCTGTAAGAGCTCACTTACACACACACACGCACACAGGGTGAAGTACAAACTAAGGAGACATTTTCTTTCATTCAGTTTATTTGAAGTTTGAGAAAAGAACTTCACAAAAAATAATCCCTTTTGGACCCTTTAATACCTTTTAATAAGTTTGCCTAACTAATTTAAAGGTAAATTTAAGTTGCTTGCAATTTCAGAGACCTGGATCAACAACTAGAAACTAGAAACTCTACAAAAACTACATCAAAACAACAATGTATGTATGAAAATAAAGACATTAGTGCCACATGGAATATTCTAAGCAAGGTGATAGGAAAAAGAAAATGTTCCAAATAAATCCCAAAATACTTTACAAGAGATAAAACAATTATTGAAAATCAGGAGTAAATTGTACATAAACCAAACTCATAAAATCAATAAAGTATCAAAGAGTTTACTAATTTGAATCAAATCCAAATCTATGTTCCTTGTCCATACACACACACACTCCGTACCTGTGTTGGCGAGACGTCCTCCCAGCTTCACACACTGATCTGCAGCTTCAGGAAACGAGAACTTTGCCAGAGACGTGGAGTAAAACACGTGACCTGAGGACAGAGACACGTGACCTGAGGACAGAGACACGTGACCTACCTCCTTCATCTCACTGCTCCTGACCGAAGGAGCAGTGAGATGAAGGAGGTAGGATGTAGTACGTAGGACATAGGAAGTAGAACATGGGATGTTGGAAGTATGATGTAGGAGGTAGCATGTAGGATGTAGGAGGTACCCTCCATCTTGTGGCTGAAGCAGTACACGTCATAGGTCTCATTCTGGTCTCGGACTCCGTAAGTCCGGACTCCGGGGAAGTTTTCTTTGTCTCCATAGCAACGCTCCCGAGGCTCTTGGATTGGATATCTGTGAAAAAAATAACAGATTTAGACCGTGGGTAGTCCTGGTTAAGACCTGGTTTTGAGCTTGTTTAGTCTGGTGTGGTACCTGACAGTCTGGTCTAGTATGGTACCTGATGGTCTGGTATGGTATCTGACGTTTGATCTGGTTCTGGGCATCTGATCTAGTGCTCAACGACCTGGTCTGGTACCTGACGGCCTGGTACCTGACGGCCTGGTACCTGACGGTCTGGTACAGTATGGTACCTGATGAAATCTCACAGCTGATCTGGTACCGGACATCTGATCTAGTACCCAACGGTCTGGTCTGGTACCTGATGGTCTAGTCTGATACATGGCGGTCTGGTCTGGTACCTGACAGTCTGGTCTGATAACCAGCCGGCATCACACTGGTGAAGGCCGTCGTCATATGCTGCCTGCAGTTGCGCTGGAGTCGCGATGGTGGCGCTGTTCTCTTCACACACAGATTTGGCCTTTTCAAAGGTTAGAGAGTAACGGGACGAGGCGCGGTAATGGAAGACCAGCCCTGGGGACAGAGAGGACAAAGGTTAAGGTGAGCACCAACCCTGGGGCCAAAGAGGTCACAAGGTGTAAGGCTGAGGGTTCAAAGGTCCTCACCGGTCACCTCCACACGGACAGCGTCGTGACTGCCGTGGAGGCCATGAGTGATATCACAGCGGTAAACACCGGAGTCGGACGCCCGTAACTCTGTGATCTCCAAGGAAACATCCGTGGGCACCAGGGGGTACGTCACCATGGTAACGCGGTCCACAAACTCTGCCTCCACACGCACAACTCCTCCCTCTGCCACCAGCACTGTGCGAGAGCCCGCCTCTGTCACATGACTCCACTTCACACGATAAGATTGGACCACAGAGGGAGTGGGTGGGGCCACGACAGCATCCTCAAAGTAACAGGGCAACAGCACCTTTGCCCCAAGCAAGGGTCGCAAGGGGGCCTCCACTGGTATGCTAACTCTGAGAGAGTCTGAAATATAAAACATAAATTATAAATATCATTTTTTTTTGTGTATGTGTGTGTGCGTGTGTGTGCGTGTGCGCCCTAAAAATAGGTTTAGCTATTTGAGTTACTCAACTGCCAGGTCAAAATGTGTTGGGGTCTTTGTGGGCATGGCTTTGCTTCAGGAGAAAGGCTTGATAAAGGTTTGTAACATTTTAATACTAATTATTTAATCACTGAGGTGTGAAACATATTGTGTCTGTAATGTTCACTACTGTTCATATTGAGCTCTGAGCTGTTAGCTTGCTTCTGAACTTGCCGGTGATAACAAGGCAATTTATTTAAATAGATAATTTTTTAACTGCATTCTATATATTTCTGCATCACATGCATACAATTCACTAAATTAAGTACCTGAGCTTGAGTTAGTCATTAATGTATAGAAAAGTCTTTCAAGAAATGTCTTTCAAAAAGGTTTGTTGTTTACAGTTAGCGCTGGCATTATCATTAGTGTTACATTACAGTTAGCATTGGAGCTAGCGTTAGCATTAGCGCTACAGGTTCTCCCTATGGCGTGCTTCGAGGGAGCTGGACTTCAGCCCTGAGCAGCAGAGGTCTATGAAGAACAGAAGGACGTGTCACACAATTCTGTGTGAGATTCAGTGTTTCACGTCACTAACGTTAGCATTAGAAATAGCTAACCATATAGTAACCATATAGTAACCATATAGTGAACCACGGATGTATAATATCACGTGTACCTGGTTCCACAAACGCCCAGAGTTGGGGGAGGGCAAGCAGGAGGAGGAACAGCTGCGTTGTCATGGAGACCTGTAAACAGGAAGTAAATAAAGCATCATAAACCAACAGTGGAGATAGAACAGTGGGGGCGGGTCCCGGCCATAAAGGTCCATGAGCATGTGCGCTGAGATGCTTTCAATCTCTCTCCTAGCCGGTGGGGGTGGACCTGGAAAGAGTATTACCCAGTGCTTTTGTATGCCGCCTTCTTTCATCTCAAAAACGGCTTTACAGGATGGTCTAAAAATGGGGGGAGTTTTTGGACGAGCCTAGTTTAGCCGCTGTGGACTTTTGAATGCACTCGTTAAAAGAATGGAGCTCATGCCGGCTGAAGCATACACAAATGCATTTTTTCACATTTTCCTGCGGTAGAGGAAGTACTCAACAGTGGAGATAGGCGTAACTACGTCCGTTAATATTTACAGTCTATGAGACAGAAACTTCTGTTTAGAATTAAAATATTAAAATGAAGAAAACAAAAGTGCATGTGAAACCCCCATACTTGTGCACATATTAAAGCTCGGGTACCTAACTTTTCCTGGGTCTTGTATAAAAACAATGCTGCATATGAAGAAAATAGCTTTTAGAGTCACTCTTTGACTCTTTAAGCTGAGGGGATATTCTCATCAGATAAAATATAACGTATTACATAAATATTACTGTTGTACTTGTACTGTAGTACTTGTACAACATTATTACAAGTACTTGTACTGACTTCATCTCAGTTATTTACTTAAAGACATGGCTCCAGTCAGTCTGCAGCAAAACCACAGAGTCCAGAGTCAAAGGGGCTCTGTGTGGGACCGGGTCTAAGACCAGGTCTGGACCCAGTCAGAGAGACCAAATCTCACAGAGTATGTGCGTCTGTGTGTGTGAGAGAGAGTGTGTGTGTGAGAGAGAGTGTGTGTGTGTGAGAGAGTGTGTGTGTGAGAGAGAGTGTGTGTGTGTGAGAGAGTGTGTGTGTGTGAGAGAGAGTGTGTGTAGGGGGGGGGGTACTAGGAGCAGAGCCAATGTAAACAGCTGATCAGCAGCAGAAACAGAGGCTCTCTGTGGCTGAGGCTAAAGCTAACACTGAGGCCAGTGTGATGCTAATGCTAACACTGGGGCCAAAGTGATGATAATGCTAACATCTTGGCCAAAGTGATGCTAACGCTAACACTGAGGGCAGTAAGATGCTAATGCTCAAGCTAACACCGAGGCCAAAATCACGCTAATGTTAATTTTGAGGCCAGTATGATACTTAAGCTAATGCTAACACAGAAGCCAGTATGATGCTAACTCTGAGGCAGGAGTGATGCTAATGCTAACACCGCTGCTGCATGTTTAGCTGTTGGTCCAGACGCCATCTCAGAGGCCTGGACCTGGTGCGACTCATATTTTTCCCATATACAGATTTCCCCCAGATGAGCTATGGTTGTGTGCTGCTCCTCCATAGTGACCAAGGTCCTCTTATCTACATCTGTGACCTGGTCTCTCCTTTTTATTGTGAGTCTAAGTGGGTGCCGTGTGTTGGTAAGTTTGCAGTAGTCCAGTCTTTTGTGAATAACAGATTGAACAGAGCTCTGGGAGATGTCTGTATAACTTGACCTCTGACCTCTCTAGTGTTCCCTCTGACCTCTCTGGTGTGCCCTCTGGTGTTCCCCCTGACCTCTCTGGTGTGCCCTCTGACCTCTCTTGTGTTCCCCCTGACCTCTCTGGTGTTCCCCTTGACCTCTCTGGTGTTCCCCTTGACCTCTCTGGTGTGCCCTATAACCTCTGACCTTTCTGGTGTGCCCCCTAACCTCTGACCTTTCTGGTGTGCTCCCTGACCTTTTCTACTGTATTAGGTGAATAAAAGGTGTGTACTGTCCAGAGACCCCTGCAATAGAGACCCAGGTCTCTCTCTTGTCTCTCGCTCTGGTCACTCTCGGGTATCTCTTTGGTTTCTCTCTGGTCTCTCTTTTTCTTATATCTCTTTTTCATCTCTCTGGCCTCTTGGGTCTCTCTTGTTCTCTGGTCTCTCTCTCTCTCTCTCTGGTACTATGGTCTCCCTCTCTCTGGCCTCTCTCACTGGTCTTTCTCTCTTGGGTCTCTCTCTGATACCCATGGTCTCTTTCTCTGGTATCTCTCCCTGGTCTCTCACTGGTCTTACTCCGGTCTCTTTCTGGTCTCGATCTCGTCTCCCTCTCTCTGGTCTCTCCCTGCATGGTCTCATTTCTGGTCTCTCTCTGGCATCTCTTGCCTGTCTCTCTTTCTGGTCTATTTCTCTGGTCGATCTCTTCTCTCTCTCTGGTCTCTTTCTTTCTTTTCTCACTGTTTAAATTTCTAATTTAAAGATTGCTTTTAGAGAATGATTAAAAAAAAGAATTCTTACCTTTTCCATCGCAGCAGCTGCAGCGTCTGAGGCTGAGGCAAAAGAAGAGAGAAAGAAAGAGCTCTTTGAGCAAACTGCAAGCTCCAGGAGGGAGGGGTCTGGACCAGGACTCTCCCAGGTCTGGACCTGGACTAAAGTAGGTCTAAAGCAGGACTAAAGCAGGTCTGTATTAGGTCAAAAGCAGGTAAAAAAAAAGCTGTCTGAAGCAGGACTAAAGAAGAACTAAGAACTAAAGCAGATCTAAAGTAGGACTAAATCAGGTTTAATGCAGGTCTACAGCGAACTAAAGCAGGTCTGAAGCAGATCAAAAGCAGGTCTAAAGCGGCTCTAAAGCTGCCTGTGTGTGTTGTTAATGTTCTTCTTTTTAGGTTTGGGCATTTTTTTGGTTTGGCCTCCACGTTTGACCCATCCAGCAAATGCGAGGGCCATTCATCGCCACTTGCGGTTTTCAGTCACAACACATGAGAAAGATTTTAGAGTTCTTTTTGGCATTTTGTGGGTGTTGTGAGCGCCCCACCCTCTTTTCCTCGGCTGCTTGACCCAACGGTTGCGAGGGCTGTTCATTGCCGCTTGCGGCTGTATACTTTTTCTTTCCCTGGTTCAGGTTTAAGGGTTAACTTCTACACACCACACGCGTCCTATGAAGCTGAAAAACTTCTTCCACTGGGATGATTTCAGATGCACCTGTTGCAGAAAGCCTCAAACAGCACACCCCAGGCCACACCCACAAAAGGAGCCGTGTGTAGGACATATGAGAAACATGATTGCATTAATGGTCTTTGACTCTAGATCAGCTCCACATGGCCACACACTTGTACTTCAACATTAGAAGGCGGCACAACTTTGACAGTGATTCTGGAAATGGTTTGTTCTTTCAAAAAGTCTTTTGTCTGACCACACTAGCCACAGAGACCATGAGGACAAACAGATCCTCTAACCGCTGGCCTGTGCTGTCTTCTCCATAGACTTCACAAATACAGCACAGCTTTGATGGTGTGTGTATGGGGACGTTACTGTGATCCACAACCCGTGCACAAAGCACTCACCGTGTGGTCTGAGGCCTAAGAGAGTAGGTTACTAATATTTATCTATATAGCACCTTTCACAGACCAGTCACTTTTTTTTTACAATTTTTGCAGGCATTCGTTTCTCACTCCACAGCGATGGAAGCGGCATTGCCATATAAGAGGAGCATACCAGACCTATTGTACATGTTTTAGTGGTAGGGGAAACCGGAGCACACAGAGGGAGGAAATCTACACAGAGATGGGGAGAACATAGAAACTTCACACAGAAAGGTCCCAGGACCTTCTTGCATGCACCACCAGGCCTAAAGCACAGGTACGTATGTGTGGGTCAGGGTTTTAAAAGGTCAGAGGCAAACACATTCTCAAAGACACAAACTGGCTGGAGCTTTATATAAATCTGATTTAATACAAAATATGTTTTCTGAAATGCATGAACCCGGCAGGAAGTGATTTTAAAGACAACAAGAAGTGTTCATGATTCAGTGGGGTCAGAGGTCAGACTTAAAAACCCGCTGGGGTCAGAGGTCAGACCTAAACCCTGTTGGGGTCAGAGGTTGTGGTGTTCAGCTTGGAGGAACTGCTGTTGCCATGACGCCCTGTGAAAACTCCTGTTGAGCTTTTACAAAAGTGGCTCCAGAACGACGATAGGACGAGTGAACCTGGAACACACATCAACATACAGTAAGTCCAGGACCTGAGAGACCAGAGAGGGAGACTAGAGACTGCAGTTACTACGGCAACCCACCATCTTCAACAGAATGATTGACAGGACGGAGCACAGCGAGAACAAAATGGCCACCGTGATCAATATCCCACCCACCACTTTGTTTTCACCTATCACAGCGAAGGACATGAGCCAGCCACTGGAACGGACCAATGAGAGAAAAGGTTAGGTACTGGCGGACCACACAGAAGGACCAATCAAAGGAGCTGACACTTACCTGTTGCCCCAGCCTGGGATTCCCACGCTCTGAATGACGAAGATCACGGTTTGAGCCAAGAAGACGAAGAAGAAGAAGAAGAAGCTGAACGAGCTGTCTGTCCTGGAAACAAGTCAATAGTAGTAGTAATAGTCGTATCAGTAGTAGGTGTCGTACCTGTAGTAGTAGCAGTAGTACCTGAAGGCCTTGTACACTGGTCTGTACCAGCAGAGGAAGGAACAGGGTGTAAACAGCAAGAGCCAAACCAGCGACAAACCAAAGTCCTGACCATGAGAGGGCGCTGTGGTGAAAAGGGCCAGGCAGGCCAGCACGTTCAGGAAGAGAGTCACCGAGTTCACTGCAAAGAGAGAGCGACCAGATTGTACCAGAGAAACCAGAGTGTACTAGTGAGACCAGAGTGTACCAGAGAGACCAGAGTGTACCAGAGAGAGAGAGAGACCAGAATGTTCCAGAGTGACCAGCGTGTACTAGTGAGAGCCAAATTGTACCAGAGAGACCAGAGTGTACCAGAGAGAGAGAGACCAGAGTGTACCAGAGAGAGAGAGACCAGAGTGTACCAGAGAGAGAGAGACCAGAGTGTTCCAGAGTGACCCCAGAGTGTACCAGAGAGAGAGAGACCAGAGTGTTCCAGAGTGACCCCAGAGTGTACCAGAGAGAGAGAGACCAGAGTGTTCCAGAGTGACCCCAGAGTGTTCCAGAGAGAGACCAGAGTGTTCCAGAGAGAGACCTGAGTGTACCAGAGAGCAGAGTGTATCAGAGAGAGAGAGACCAGAGTGTTCCAGAGAGAGACCTGAGTGTACCAGAGAGCAGGGCTGGACTGGAAAGTTTTTTTTTACAGTTTGTTTATACAGTATGCTGAAGCAAATACTGTCGAGGATCAGGATGTCTGCAGTTTCAACAATAAAATAAAGTGCAATAGTCTTCATTACAAGAGAGTAATAAACATGTCTCAGAGTGAGGGAGGTGTCACAGACAACACTATTGTTTGTTACAGGGATGAGAATTGGTCAGAAAAGTCTGAAATACATAATGTCAGCCATTGGTTGGCTCTATAATCTGTTTGATTTGTTCATAACATTTTAGTTTTGGGCACAACCAACATGAACTTTTAATGCAATGGAAAATGTAGGTACCCGAGCTTTAATTTAGGGAGTTTAGTCGCGCTTCGAGACGCGGACTGTTTCCTGCAGCGGTGTATAATTTGGGTGCACAGATCACGCAATGACACACACACAACAAGCAGAGAATGGTTCTGTGCGAGTTTATGGTCTTGGGTACATGGCCGCAACACAGTGGAACTGCCCGGGAACGCTGCGGCCGCTGAGGTGGCGGAATCCTGTTCGAGTACATACAGCAGGTGCCCGCGGACACGCGCTCCTCCCTCAAACAATTCTTTACGGATTTACACTTTTCACAAACATGTTTTTTGTATGAGGCAGACAGGCCCTTCGGGCATTGCCCGGTATGCCCGATGGCCAGTCCAGCCCTGCCAGAGAGAGAGACCTGAGTGTACCAGAGAGTGTACCAGAGAGTGTACCAGAGAGTGTACCAGAGTATACACACACACTCACACATGCAGAGGTAGTACAGCATTCTGCAGAGCCTCTGATTTTCTGGGGGAATTTCTTCAGTGAAGTTTTGGTAAAAACAAGGTTTGATCGGACACAGAGCGGGAAGAGGAGGCCAGTTGTTCACCCCTGTAACACAACAACACACTGTAACACGATACAATCATCGTGACACAACACAACCACTGGTCCAGTCCTGGTTTAGACCGGGTTCAAACCTGGTTCAGTCCTGTTAATCTCTTCTTCTCTTTTTTCCAGTTCAGCAGCCTTTCGTTCCAGTTCCTCCTGCCGTCTGAGGAGGTCAGACCGAACTGCTGCTGCAGCATCCTGCAAAGAGGCCAGACCTAGTTTAGACCTGGCTCAGACCTAGCTCAGATCTGGCTCAGACCTCACCTGTGGGTCTGTGGTCTGGATTACTGCAGGTGTTGTGGATCCGCTGGTTTCCTGTAAAAGTGTCACAACCTGAGTTTGGGTGAAGGGGGTGGTACTTGATGTGTTGTACGGGGTAGATGGGTTTGTAATAGAGGGTGTGTGGTAGAGGGTTTGCGTGTTTACATGTTCTCCCCCTATGCAGGCACAGGGAGAACATGCAAACTCCAATCAGAAAGGGTAAGGGTTAGAAAAAACCCTGTTCAGATTGGTTTTCAAACCCAGGACCTTCTTGCTGAGAAGCAAGAGTGCTATCCATTCAGCCACCATGCTGGGGGTATATGATAGGGACATAGGTAGGGGGTGTGTGAGTGGGTGGGTTGTTTTGTCCGGTTCTCACAGTACTGAAGTCTTCCACAGTTGTCACAGTGGTGCTCATCGCCTGCGTCACAGAGGGATCCTAAAATACACAAGGGTCAGAGAGAGTCACAGGAGGTCTTCACGATGTTTTGTCTCTCTGAGTCTTGTCTCACTGTGTGCAAATTCATAGGCAGCATGCTCCCTAAGGAGCATTGAAGGAAGATACCTTCAGAGCCACGAAGGCACTGGCTGGGGTAGACGGTGTCAAAAGTGAATTTGGCAAGGCAAGGCAAGGCAAGTTTATTTGTATAGCGCAATTCATACACAAGGCAACTCAAAGTGCTGAACAAGACAAAATAGCATTAAAATCATAAATAATCACAGTACATTAAAAAGAAAGATAAAATAAATATAAAATCCCTCAGTTGTATGCACAGCTAAGCTTTTCAACCTGGTTTTAAACCTTGTCAGAGAGGAGGCCTGTCTCACATCTTCAGGAAGATTGTTAGCAGCATGGATACCTGATATCTGTATGTCTCATGTAGATTTACAGCTTTATCTGGAGTTGATGATCAGAGGGAATTATGCTTTTATGACTCTGATCAAAGCTGCTGCTGCTATCACAGATCTGTTTTCTGACAACAAACATAGGAGCCTTAAACAAACATCCGGGTTCAGATATGAAGGTGAGGACAGAGAGACTGTAGTCCCACTAGTTGGCTAGTACAAATACTTTTTTTATATTCTAGCCTGGAGATATCGATTGAGAAATAAAGCTATGCCTCACGGTTAGTATAATAGATCCATGCTCACGGTTGGCTCTGGCCTGGTCTTATAGCCAGAGAATCCCGCCTTACTTCCCTGTGCAGGTGGACTTACAGGTGCGAGAGACAAAAAAATAAAGAAAAGGTCCGAGCTCCTGGGGATGTAACCCAAAGGGAGGGGAGCGACCCGGGGGGGTAGAGTCACGGGTACCGACTACTACTACTACTACTACTACTACTACTACTACTACTACTACTACTACTACTACTACTACTACTACTACTACTACTACGTACCGTCAACATTACATAACTTTTAATGTTATTATACTACAGATCACAGCGATTTATAAATCATGCATAAATTATAAACACAGATGTCATATTATGAATATAGTATATATCATACAAATGTAATCAACGTGCTGTTGTTCGGATCCAAAAGTTTACGTCTTTTAAAGGTTTTTAAACAAATATTTTCACTTCCAGTTTCTTACGCCCGCCCCTCTGCCTATCCTGTGTTCTGATTGGATCTATTGCTCTCACTCTCAACGAACTGTCCAATCACAGCGCAGCGTCGCAGTGAAACATAAACTTTCCAGTCTGTGATCAAAGTCTCAGTAAGTTCCGGATTCAAGGCATGGACTGTAAATGTCCAGAGCTCTGGTCCGCATCTGCTCTGGATTCAGCCCCTGTCTACTCACCTCAAACGGGTTCCCTGAGCTGGACATGCCTCCGGACCATAGACTGTAAATAAGGAAAAAAAAATCGGATATCTCAGTTCCTTGTTCAGCGGCAAGACTGCGCATGCGCATGTGGGTGTTGAAGCTGTGATGGCGGAAATGACCGGTGAGTGGTTAATATTTACAGTCTATGGTTTAACCTCGGAGTCATTACAATGATGCGATATTGCACAATTATGATATTATTTCATGTTATTATACATGTGTCTATTGAGGTTCCTCGCTGTGCAGTGATTGAGACCAGACTAAGAAACATTTTAGTTCGTTATGTATTTTAAATGTGGATTTAAAGCAGGTCTAAAGCAGGACTAAAGCAGGTCTAAAGCAGAATTAAGCGGGTCTAAAGCAGGACTAAAACGGGTCTAAAGTAGAAAGCCGGACTCTCGTGTGTATTCAACGTGACATTACGTGAATTCCTGATTCTGTGTCATTGTGAAATTTCCAAACACTGATTAAAGGTTGGAACATTTTGACCTGTAAAAACCATTAAAGCTGGGCTATTTAATTTTCAGATCAATAGAACGCAATAAACGCACGTTATCACATCATGTATTTTTGGCCTCATTTTTGGAAAAGTGAAAAAGAGAGGACCACCCTCACTCAGCCAATCAGCTCTCAGCCCATGGAGTCAGATAATGACTCGCAGGGCTCTTTCTTACGAAAAAAACGAGACAAAGATGCTAATTAAGTTACGTACCCCAGCTCCCCCCCTGGGGGGAGCACCAGCCCTCACTGATCCTCCTGCAGGTGGTGAGTCCACAGGAGGATGGCTGTGGTCTCACTGTCTGTGAGATCATACCCTTGATCGTTCAGGGTTGAGTGAGGTTGAGAGTCTTGCCCTGTCCTAGGGCCTAGGACATAATGACAGCAGACATATGTGGCAGTGGAGAAGGTCTCATGGTGAGCCTCTTTAAATGTGTTATTTATGGCCTGTGTGTTTGCAGTTCTGCGTCTGGCCTGTAGGCCGCAGCACTACTCCTGGGGAAAACTGGGTCTGAATAGTGAAGTGGCCCAACTCCTTCAAAACAGTGACCCCAAGTGGACCATCGACGCCAGTACACCATATGCAGAGGTACCATGTGACTTGGCCTTTCTCTCTGGTGTCTCTATGGTCTCTTTTTATTCTTTCTCTTGTGACCTCAAACTTTGTGACCTCTTGTGTTTGTGTCACAGCTGTGGATGGGTGCGCACCCCAAAGCTGATTCAGCAATCATCTGGGACCATGTGGAGAACCATGTGGAGGAGAAAACCTTAGGAACCTGGATCCAGAAAAACCCCCAGAGTCTCGGGACCAAAGTCCGAGAGAAATTCAACGATAGATTACCGTTTTTATTCAAAGTGCTGTCCGTGAGGAACGCTCTTTCCATCCAGGCCCATCCAGACAAGGTGAGGACCAGGACCTGGTCTGTACCTGGCCTTTGAATTTGTATTTAATTTTGTATTTATTTGTATCCTAGAGGGGCTGGGTCTTGGGTCTGTATCTAGTCTCTGGCCCAATTAGACTGAGGCGCTGCGCAGACTTAGCAAAGCAATTAACAGAAATGACCAGGCTCCTTATGCAAATTTCACAGCGTTCATACATGAAGAAAAACGATGTAATTCTAGCGCCCGGCCAGTAGTAGGCAGAGGAACTTTAAAACACGACACATGTGAGCCCTAGCAGTATACTCACTTCCTCAACAACATCCTCCTCAGGCTGCCACAAAGATGTGAAAGAATGCACATCATTCTGCATTTAACAGCAGCTGCAAAAATGGAAACTGAAACTAGAGCTTCATGTGTTTTTGTTTGGACGAAGGAAGGAGTAGAATTCTCCTTACGTTTTCACCCCCCTGAAACAGTCTCCATGTCAACGGGAGGTGGCAACCAACATCCAACGTTTTACTGCCGCAGCGTCTCTGTCTAAACGGGGCCTCTGTCTGGTGTCTCTCTTTCTGGTTTTGTTTCTGGTCTCTGGTCTCTTGGTTCTCTCTTTCTGGCCTCTTTCTGGTCTCTGGTCTCTCTCTCGGTGGTCTATTTCTGGTTTCTGGTCTCTCTTTGGTATCTCTCTGGTCTAACTTGGATCTGGTCTTGATCTAGGACTTGGCTATGCAGCTTCATGCTCGCTCTCCTCAGAATTATCCAGATGAAAACCACAAACCGGAGATGTGCATCGCTCTAACCCCCTTCACTGGACTCTGCGGCTTCAGACCTGTGACAGAGGTGCTGGATTTCCTGTCAGGTGAGGAGGAGGTGCTCAGGTGGAGGTGAGGAGAGAGGGGAGTGAAGAGAGGAGCAGTTGAGAGTAGAATGAAGGTGAAGAGACGAAAGAGTAGGAGTTGAGTGCAGGTGAAGAAAGGAGTGAGGAGGGGTTTGGCTGAGTCTGTGCTTGTACCCAGAGCTGCCCGAGCTGGTCGTGCTGCTGGGACCAGACTGTGTGGAGAAGCTGAGGTCCGGACTGTCCGACCTGGACCAGACCCGAGCCGCTCTAAAGTCCTGTTTCAGCCAAATGATGAGAAGCGACAAAGACCTGGTGCAGACCCAGCTGAGGACCCTGGTCCAGCGGGCTGAGGCCAGAGGTCAGTGTGCCCCTGCTGGTTTTTCTCTGGTCTCTCTCTCTGGTCTAGTTCAGTTTTGTTAATTTATTTTTAAGATGACAGGCACAGTGTACAATAAACATTAACCTTAAAGGGAAAGATGCTTTGTACCAGGTTATAGCTCAAGAGCTAATTTCCACCCGTAGTCCCTGGGCTGAGGTTATGATAATACATTAAAAATAACATTCATGGATGTACTGTTTACATTTGGTCAAAATACAAGTCTTCACGTGCTCAATTTGTTAAAACCTCACATTCATATCGCTCATTTATACTGGTCAAGCACATGAGTGCAAGTTTGGTTTGATAATAACCATTTCTTTAAAAGACGTGAGAACATGTACTGTAAGAATTGGTGCTTGCTATCAGCTGTGGGCAGCATGTTCCACTGACGAGTGGTCTCACAGGAAAAAGCAGAGTTTCCAAAAGCTGTCCTGTGTTTGAGGATCCTACACTCGTGCTCGGTGGTTCTAGTGGCTGGTGTTCGAGCCTAAAAAGATCAATCAATCAATCAATCAACTTTATTTGTATGGCGCCTTTCCAACACAAGGCCACTCAAAGCGCCTCACAACCCACATAATATCAGACAAATCAGAAACATCAAAAACTACATATACAAACAATAAATACATTAAAAACAGAATAAAATCACAAGTAATGAAAAAACCTTAAAACATTAAAAGCACACACGGGATTAAAATAATAAATAACCACAATGCATTAAAAAAAGAGTATGTATCAATAAAATCCTTCAGCCGTATGCACAGCTAAAAAGAACAGTTTTTAACCCTGATTTGAAAATTGCCAGAGTAGATGCTAGCCTCACATCTTCAGGAAGATTGTTCCAGATTTTAGCTGCATAAATCTCAAACGCTGCCTCCCCATGTTTAGTTCTGACTCTTGGAACCAGTAAGAGGCTACCTCCTGTGCTCCTCAGAGTCCGGGCCGGTTCATATGGCACTAACAAGTCGCTTAAGTACTTTGGTGCGAGGCCATGGAGAGACTTGTACACAAGCAGTGCTGCTTTGAAGTCTATTCTCTGAGCCACAGGAAGCCAGTGCAGAGACCTGAGAACTGGACTAATGTGGTCATATTTCCTGGTCCTGGTCAGGACTCGAGCTGCAGCATTTTGGACATACTGCAGTTGTTTTACAGCCTGTTTGGAGAGACCTGTGAGCAGGCCATTGCAGTAGTCTAACCTACTGGAGACAAATGCATGGATGAGAATCTCCAAGTCTGCTTTAGACACTATGTTTCTAATTTTGGCAATGTTTTTCAGATGGTAAAATGCTGCTGATGTTACTGATTTGATATGACTGTTAAAATTTAAGTCTGAGTCCATTATAACTCCTAGGTTTCTGAACTTGCCTACAGGTTCCAGGGAGAGAGACTGGAGGTGACGAATAACGCTCTCTCTTTGTTTCTGAGGACCAAAGACAATCAATTCTGTTTTGTCTGCGTTTAGCTGAAGGAAGTTATTTTGCATCCAATCACTAATCTGTTGAATACAGTGTATGAGTGAGTCCACTGGTCCATGTTCTCCTGCAGTAAGTGAGACATACATTTGAGTGTCATCAGCGTAATTGTGGTAGGATACATTGTTGGAGCGTATTACTTGACCTAATGGCAGCATGTAAATATTGAACAGAAGAGGCCCCAGAATTGACCCCTGTGGCACTCAGAGCCATATGATCTGAGACACAGTTTCCTATCTGAACCAAGTATTTCCTGTCTTCTAGGTAAGACCTAAACCAACTTAGGGCAGTCCCAGTGACACCCACCCAGTGCTCTAGTCTCTGCATGAGGATCTCGTGGTCGACTGTGTCGAACGCAGCACTCAGATCCAGCATTACTAAAACTGTGACTTTTCCTGTGTCGGTGTTAAGTCGGATGTCATTTGTAACCTTCACTAGTGCAGTCTCAGTGCTGTGATTGGCTCTAAAGCCGGACTGGAGCGCATCAAAGGAACTATTAGTTACTAAGAATTCTGTAAGTTGTTGGTAAGCAACTTTTTCCAGAATTTTTCCCATAAACGGCAGATTTGAAATGGGCCGGTAATTCTTAAGAACTGTGGCATCTAGACTCCTCTTTTTTAGGAGGGGTCTGATGACTGCCGTTTTCAGGGCTATTGGAAATGTTCCAGATGAGAGAGACATGTTCACTATTTGTGTGAGCGAAGGTAAAAGACTGCTCAAAACAGACTTAAAAAATGTAGTGGGTAGTACATCCAGGCTACATGTGGAGGAACTAAGGCTAGAGACAACATCTTGGACAGTTTCATTATCTGTTGGTGCAAAGTGCGATAGCTCAAAAAGCCTCACCGGCTGTTGTAATGTTATTTCTGCATTGGAGGTGATGGCGTTTTTGATGCTCTGAACCTTGTCATTGAAAAATTGTGCAAACTCATTACATTTAGATTCTGAAGCAAATTCTAATGGCAGCTGAACAGGGGGGTTTGTTAATCTGTTAACTGTTGAAAACATAAGTCGTAGATTATTATTGCAGCCATCAATGGTTTTAGAAAAATAAATTTCTCTTCTTCTACGTAGCACCCTGTTAAACTTGCACAACTCATTTTTGAAGATCTCATGATCAACCTGGAGATTGGATTTTCGCCACTTCCGCTTGGCCCTACGGCACTCTCTCTTCTGTACCATGACTGAGTCCATTTTAGTCCAGGGGGCCTTTGGCTTATTTGAAATCATTTTAACCTTCACAGGAGCGATGATGTCCAGAACATTTATAACATTGGAGGTGACAGAGTTAAACAATTCGTCAACAGTAGAACACAATGTGTTCTCAAAGTTTATCATTCCCATGAATAGTTCGGTTGTGTTGTCTGTGTCTGACAATTGCAGATTCAGATTTATATGGTTGTTTACTATCAAAACACATGTCAAAAAAGTGATCTGACAGAGCCACGTCAACCACATTTACATTTTAAATATTAACCCCCTTAGTAACCAGCAGGTCTAGAGTGTGCCCTTTGCTGTGGGTGGGGCCACTCACGTGCTGAGTGAGACCAAATGTTTCAAGTACAGAACTCAGCTCTTTTGCATTTTTGTCATTGCCATTATCCACATGAATATTAAAATCACCTGTAATCACTAAACTATCAAAATCGGTGCAAACAACTGAAAGCAACTCAGTGAAATTATCAATGAAATTGTGACATGACTGCGGTGGCTTGTACAGGACAATGATAAGAATAGAAGGAGATTGTTTTTGTTCTATTTTGTTGTTCTATTTTGTTCTAAAAAGATGACCTCTTTCAGTGGAGGAGCAGCGGTGTCATGAAGGAAGCAAAGATTTGTGTGTTTTAATTAAATTATCAAAGCTTAAGATTTTATGTTTTATAGTGACTCAAGTGGGCTCAGTGGTCTCTCTCTGGTCTCACCCTTATCTCTCCCTGGTCTTTCCTCAGGTCCCGTGCCCCTTCAGGACCTGCTGCTCGAGCTGCATTCTCAGTTTCCTGGAGACATAGGTTGTTTTTGTCTGTTCTTCTTGAACCTGGTGCAGCTGCAGCCTGGAGACGCCATGTTCCTTAGAGCCAATGAGATCCATGCCTACCTGAGCGGAGGTGAGCCTGGTCTCTCTCTGGTCTCTCTCTCTGGTCTCTCTCTCCAGTCTTTCTCTTGTCTAACTCGTTCTCTGCTTTCTGGTCCAGACTGTGTGGAGGTGATGGCTTGTTCTGATAACACAGTCAGAGCTGGTCTGACCCCTAAGTTCCTGGACGTTGAGACTCTGTGTGAGATGTTGGACTACAGCCCGGATCCGCCCACTTCGAAACGCTTCCCCTGTCGACGTGACGAACATGACAGTCATGTGACCCTGTACAACCCGCCCATCGACGATTTCAGTGTCATCCGCACCCAGGTACTGATCCCTGAACCCATGTCCTGGCAACAGGTAATAATAATACATCTGATTTCTAATGCCTGTTACATTGCCACTAGGGCTGTCAAAATTAACCCGTTAACGCACGTTAATTTTTTTTTTTCATTAATCGCATAAAAAAACAATTACGCTTTTGACGTATGAGGCGAATGACCTGCCCATGCATCCCATAATAACACTCAGAAGTGCCGTTCACAGGCTTCTCATTTTGAGATACCCTCCTACTCTTCCCTAAGCTACGATGTAAGCTAGCTATGTTCACCCGGGCTTGATTTCTTCTTTGATCCCTTTTCTCCTCCTCACTTATGCGTCTTTTGGCTGTTTTGCTGTGTATGCAGTTACAGCCAGAGGAGGTATCGCCACTTTCTGCTGCCATACTGTTCTTGTTTACCTGCCTACCAGACACTAGAATAGGCGTGGCCTGTTTGCAACACTACCACCCCTCTTTCTACAAGCAGAGGAGAACTAGCGTCAGGCAAAGTTTCTACTCAGCACGTTTTACGGCCCGAATTCAAACACAAACTGAATCAATGAGCTACATTTTTCAGTTTTATTGCAACTTGTATGTAGTATTACCATAGACTTTAAATATTAACGGATGTAGTCACCCCTTTCTCCGCCGTACAAGCAATGTGGCACCACTTTTCGTCGTCTATGGGCAGTTTCAAAATGGCCGCGGGGGCTGGAAAATGTGAATTTTCCCGGTTGGAATGGGGCCTTTCTGAGTGGAGTTTGCATGTTCTTCCCGTGTCTGTGTAAGTTTCCTCTGGGTGCTCTTGTTTCTACTACTAAAAAACATGTACAATAGGTCTGGCATGCACCTCCTGTATGGCGACTTCGCCCCAATCTCTGGAGCGAGAGACAGATGCCTAAAACAATTGTAAAGTGTTTTTTGTGACTCTGGTCTGTTAAATTACTTCTTATGGTGGAGAGCTAAGACCTGGGCTGGTGGAGGTAGTGGAAGGGAGGTAGAGTGGAGTTGGTGTGTGGTGAGCAGGGGAGGTTCCATGGATACACTGGTGTGTGAGGCAGTTTGTACCCTGACCCTTGAGCACATGTGCTGACATGTCCTGACCCCACTTGGGGGTCATGTGAAAGGGTCAAGGTCATGAGGTATGAATACTTTTTCAGGTCTTCTGTTTTAGGTGTCGGGGACGGAGTCTTATGTGATCCCGCCTTTGGACAGTGGCTCTATCCTATTGGTCATCTCAGGGTCCGCCAACTGCCCCGCTCATAGTGACATCAGATTGGGGCGGGGCTCTGTCCTCTTCCTCTCGGCCAATCAGAGCCTTCCCCTGGAGGTGACATCATCAATTGACATGTACAGGGCCTGCTGCCTCTTGTGAACCCAGCTCACCTATTGTGTGCAGTTCTCCCGTTGCTACCAAAGCATACAAGACCCTGCCCCCTCGTCTTATGGTCTGGTTTATAATGTGCCGTTTTGCTGCTGAACCCAACTGCAGTCTTTCCGAAGGCTATTCAGCCCTAAACTTTAGACGTATGTCAGTTACAAGTGTATGTGTGTTAGCTTCAACTTGTTTGACAAGATGAGACTGAACTGTTAAATTATCAAATAAAAGACAATAACAAACCAGTTTTATACAAAACTTTATTCAGATCAATTTTTACAAAAAGTTGTTGGAATGAGCCCCTCCCCGATAGATCTGGTCCCAGTGGATCTTGCCCTCCACAGAGCCCTGCTCCGAGCCTGACCCCCTCCCTCCCTCCCTCCTGAGTCTCATCTGGACCCTGCCTGAGTCTAAGCCTGAACCCCCTCCTTGGAGACCCCAAAGGGCTTATCAACAGGAAGAGTTCCGCACTCATCAATCACAACGTCTTTCAGCGGTTTGTCTCGACTGTCAGTTTTTGTCTGTTCAATTTTCTTCACCAAGTCCTGGAAGAAAAATACTAGTTCAGACCTATACCAGACTAGGAACCCAACCCAGACTAGCCTTGGACTCACCATTCCCTCTAGGATCTTGCCGAACACCACATGCTTGCCGTCTAACCAGGGTGTTGTTACCGTGGTGATGAAGAACTGAGACCCGTTTGTGTCTTTCCCGGCATTTGCCATCGAGAGCCAGCCAGCGCCATAGTGTTTCAGCTTAAAGTTCTCATCTGGGAAACGGTCGCCATAAATACTCTTCCCTGGGTCGCAGAGAGGTCACAGGGTTAGGTTGTGTGAGTGTCCGTGTGCGTGTCAGTGTGCCTCACCTCCTGTCCCGTCTCCTCTGGTGAAATCTCCTCCCTGGATCATAAATTCTTTGATGACTCTGTGGAACTTACTTCCTTTGTATCCAAACCCTTTCTGTGAAAAGCAGCCACAACATTCACACATGAACTATCAGTTATGACACTTTGTTGTAGTTTTCACAGAAACATTGAAAACATACCAATACACACAGGGGACTGTTACATTAAAGCTGCATTCACATCGCCGACACATAGAGGTGGAGTCAGTAATTTTCAGCCGCATGAGTTAAAAGGAGCTATACCAGTTACTGCAAGGTTTGAATGTTTAGCACCGCCCCTCAACTCGCTCACAGGCTTCTCATTTCCTCTACGCTCTCATTTCACAGAGCCATCTAGTTTTATTTGCAATCTGATACATATGCTAACATTAGCGCAACTTCTCGTAAGCAGTACATTACAACAATCACTGATGAAATGGTACAAAAGCAACGTTCTGCTAAGAAAATATATAACTGAAAGCACTAGTTTCGCGTCCGAATGTAGTCCGAGGTGGTCCGCACCCGCAGATCTCTCCAGAGGATACATTGTAAGCTAGTTAGCTATGTTCACCCAGGCTTGATTAGTTCTTTGATAATTTTTTCGCTTTAGTTCCCTCTTCTTCCTCACTGTTGTGTCGTTTGGGCTGTGTACGCAGTTACAGCAAGAAGAGTTATAGTCAATTCTGCTAACATGCAACTGTGCTTAGCAGCGCTGTAGACGCTAGTGGACGCAGCCTTGTTCTGTGATTGGAGGAGAGCGGGCGTCACGCCAAGTCTCTGAACACTTTTTATGGCCTGAATTCATACAAGCTGAATCAATGAGCTCAAGTTTTCAATTGAAATACGGATTATAATACAACTTGTATGTAGTAATAAGCATTTTTATCAACTCATTAGAAAAAAATAAAAAAACAATTGGGTATAGCTTCTTTTAGAAAATCTGACTTACTGTCCTGCAATGTTGCAAAACGCAGTGCACCGCGGACGTGCGTCACCACTAACTTTGCATTGAAACTCGACGCAACGCATGGTCTGGTGTGAACACCTCTGGAACATTATGGGAAGTTTACCTCTCCAGTTGCCAGGGCGATGAAGTTTTCAGCCGTTTTTGGGACAGTTTTCCCGAAGACTCCAATCACAATACGTCCAAGTTTCTCGTCACCAACTTTCATGTCAAAGTAAACCTGAAAACACACACATGCCACTGGTTCAGCGGGTGGCATCTCTAAAGTCTCTTTTTGGACGATATAAAGCAGCGCTTAAACTCTCAAACACGGGGACAGAAAGAGAGGGGGGCAGAGAGCCCGAGAGGGAGACTGAGCAAGAGACAGGGAGGGATACAGAGTTGGGGTGGATTTGGGTCATCACGGTACTTGGTGTAGGCAGTAACACACACCTTGGCTGTCACTTTGGGGCCTTTCTTCTTGTCGTCGGCCTCTGAGCCTCCAGGAAACAGCAGAAACACCACCGCTCCAGCCACCAACGCCAACGCCACCACCGTCTTCATCCTCCGTCTGGTCAGAGAGGCACACCTGAGCATTCAACACACAACTACAGAGGAGAGAGGGAGAGAGAGTGAGGCCAGAGAGGCACACCTGAGCATTCAACACACAACTACAGAGGAGAGAGGGAGAGAGAGTGAGGCCAGAGAGGCACACCTGAGCATTCATCACACAACTACAGAGGGTGAATATTGTTCACTGCTGATCTGTTACATGTGCCATAACAGTCAGACTGCTCTAGGTCTACTATTAAATGTACAATAACAGTCAGACTGCTCTAGGCCTATTTGTTCATGTTCCCGTGTGTTACCGTTTAACCGCACACACACGTCTCACCAGGGCCGTACACGGTACATGCATTAATACACATAAAAACAAGTCTCACTAAGATCACACACGATACTCATAATAAACATATACACACGTCTCACCGGGACCGGGTGCAGTCTTCTCCGGGACTCAGACACAGGACTCAAGAGTTGCGCGTGCGCAGTAGAAAAGAACATGTCGGTATTCCGCACAGGCGCCACGTCAACTTGGGGCGGGGCTTCTGATCAACAGGGAGCTGTGATTGGACAAATATTCTGCCATTCAAATTTAACACAGCCATCTACGGAAGTGCTGTAAGCCAATAAGAGCGCGCCGCGTCCGAAACACAGAACAGATATAACATATCTTATATATATAAAATTGAAAGTTTAAATATATATATAATTCAACTTTCAATGTTATTGTAGTTTAAAGGAAACTTACGCAGACACAGGAGTACATGCAAACTCACTTGGAAGGTCCTGTTCCAACATACAGTCTATGGTTCCAACCAGAATTCGAACCCAAGACCTGTTAAGAAGCCACTGTACCACAATAGTCTTTAGGGGTTTGACTCTACAGCCTCTGCACAACTCCCAATTAAAAGTTTTACCCATTCTTCTATCCAAAGCATCTCTCTGTCAGATTAGAGCGTTTGTGAACAGACCAGATCTGATATCCCCTAAATTTGTTAAACCTCAATCTTGCATTTTAGACCTAATCTTGAATATAATAAATGCCACAAGCCTTCAAAATCGCAATAATCAAACCTCTTCTGAAAAAAAAAAAATCTTGACCATGAGTTGATAACAAATTACAGACCAATTTAAAATGTTCCTTTTTATATCTAAAATCCTGGAGAAACTTAAAGTTAAGCAACTATGCCGCCTACAGGAAAATGTCATATTTAAAATCTTTAAATCCAGATTCAGAACTCATAGCACTGAAACAGCACTAGTAAATAATTTACTAATGTCAGAATACAAAATAGAACCACTGTTGCTCTACTCAGTCACTTTTCCCCATCCGCGCATGCTGCCTCATGCTGATGTACAGAAAAAATATATATTTTTCTTGCAATAGAATATACAGTATTTACTTGCTTGCTTATTATTCCTTATATTATTTACCAAATAAAGATTACTACTTATGCTAAAGATAGAGATGTTATATTTGCTTCTTTTTTATGCTAAAGTTGGAGATTTTATTTTAATTTATTGTGTTTTGTTTTGACCCCCCTTGGACTGCCACCTTAACGTGGTGGGGGAGTTTGAGCACTCGGATGATCCTGGGAGCTATGCTGTCTGGGGCTTCATGCCCCTGGTAGGGTCTCCCATGGCAGACAGGTCTCAAGTGACGAGTCAGACGAAGCGCAGTCCGAAGCCAACCATGGACAGCACGACAACAAAAACCGTGACGTCGCCCGGCATGGCGCAGCCGGGGCCCCACCCTGGAGCCAGGCCTGGGGTCGGGGCTCGCAAGCGAGCGCCTGGTGGCCGGGCCTTAGCCCACGGGGCCCGGCCGGGCTCAGCCCGAAGGGATGACGTGGGCAGTCCCTCCTGTGGGCTCACCACCTGCAGAGGGGTCCGTGGTGGCGAGGTGCAGAGAGGACTGGGCAGCAGTCGAAGGCGGAGACCTCGACGACCCAGTCCACACACCCAACATCTGGCTCTTGGGACGTGGAACGTCACCTCACTGGGGGGGAAGGAGCCCGAGCTTGTGGGGGAGGTTGAGCGATACCGACTAGAGATAGTCAGCCTCACCTCCACACACAGCTTGGGCTCTGGAACCCAACTCCTTGAGAGGGGTTGGACGCTCCACTTTTCTGGTGTTTCCCGCGGGGAGAGGCGGCGAGCTGGGGTGGCCATACTCATTGCCCCCCATCTCAGCCGCCACGTGTTGGAGTTCTCCCCGGTGAATGAGAGGGTCGCGTCCCTCCGCCTCCGGGTGAGGGACAAGTCTCTCACTGTTGTGACGGCCTACGGGCCTAACGGTAGTGCAGAGTACCCGGCCTTCTTGGAGTCCTTGGGAGGGGTACTGGACAGTGCACCGCCCGGGGACTCCGTTATTCTCCTGGGGGACTTCAACGCCCATGTGGGAAATGCCAGTGACACTTGGAGAGGGGTGATCGGGAAGAGCGGCCCCCCTGATCTGAACCCGAGCGGTGTTCAGTTGTTGGACTTCTGTGCCAGTCACGGCCTGTCCATCACGAACACCATGTTCGAGCACAAGGGTGTCCATCAGTGCACGTGGCACCAGGACACCCTAGGCCGGAGGTCGATGATCGACTTTGTAGTCGTATCATCTGACCTTCGACCGCGTGTCTCGGACACTCGGGTGAAGAGAGGGGCGGAGCTGTCAACCGATCATCACCTGGTCGTGAGTTGGATCCGCTGGCAGGGCAGGAGGCCGGTCAGACCTGGCAGGCCCAAGCGTGTAGTGAGGGTTTGCTGGGAACGTCTCGCTGAGCCCCCTGTCAGACGGACTTTCAACTCACACCTCCGGGAGAGCTTCTCCCAGGTCCCGGCAGAGGAGGGGGACATCGAGTCCGAGTGGACCATGTTCTCTTCCTCTATCGCCAATGCGGCGGCTCGTAGCTGTGGTCGCAAGGTCTCTGGTGCTGGTCCCGGCGGCAATCCCCGAACCCGGTGGTGGACACCGGCAGTAAGGGATGCCGTCAGGCTGAAGAAGGAGTCCTATCGAGCAATGATGGTTCGTGGGACTCCTGAGGCAGCTGTCCAGTACCGGCAGGCCAAACGTGCCGCGGCCCGGGCTGTTGCAGAGGCAAAAACCCGGGACTGGGAGGAGTTCGGAGAGTCCATGGAGCATGACTATCGGTCGGCCTCGAAGAGGTTCTGGCAAACCGTCCGGCGCCTCAGGAGGGGGAAGCAGTTCTTTGCCAACACCGTGTATGGTGCGGGTGGAGGGCTGCTGACCTCGACTGGGGATATTGTCGGGCGGTGGAAGGAATACTTCGAGGTTCTCCTCAATCCCCCCGTCACGTCCCCCGTCCAGGAGGCAGAGGCTGAGGATGTTGGGGCGGATACTTCCATCTCCCTGGCCGAGGTCACCAAGGTGGTTGGCAGCCTCCATGGTGGCAAGGCGCCGGGAGTGGATGAGATCCGTCCTGACTATCTAAAGTCTCTGGATGTTGTAGGACTGTCTTGGCTGACACGTCTCTGCAACATCGCGTGGCGATCGGGGGCGGTGCCAATGGAGTGGCAGACCGGGGTGGTGGTCCCTCTCTACAAGAAGGGGGACCGGAGGGTGTGTTCCAATTATCGTGGGATCACACTCCTCAGCCTCCCCGGTAAGGTCTACTCCAAGGTACTGGAGAGGAGGCTTCGTCCGATGGTCGAATCTCGGATTCAGGAGGAGCAGTGTGGTTTTCGTCCCGGTCGCGGAACACTGGACCAGCTCTATACTCTCCATCGGATACTCGAGGGTTCATGGGAGTTCGCCCAACCTGTCCACATGTGCTTTGTGGATTTGGAGAAGGCGTTCGACCGCGTTCCCCGGGGTGTCCTTTGGGGGGTCCTCCGGGAGTACGGGGTCCGGGGTCCTCTGCTGAGGGCTGTTCGGTCCCTGTATGACCGGAGCCAGAGCTGTGTTCGCATTGCTGGCAGTAAGTCAGACCTGTTCCCGGTGCATGTTGGCCTCCGCCAAGGCTGCCCTTTGTCACCGGTTCTGTTCACTGTATTTATGGACAGAATCTCTAGGCGCAGCCAGGGGCCGGAGGGGGTCCGGTTCGGGAACCACAGGATTTCATCTCTACTTTTTGCGGATGATGTCGTCCTGCTGGCTCCAACGAACCAGGACCTGCAACATGCACTGGGACGGTTTGCAGCCGAGTGTGAAGCGGCTGGGATGAGAATCAGCACCTCCAAATCCGAGGCCATGGTGCTTGACCGGAAAAAGGTGCCTTGCCCTCTCCAGGTGGGTGGAGAGGTCCTTCCTCAAGTGGAGGAGTTCAAGTATCTCGGGGTCTTGTTCACGAGTGAGGGGAGGATGGAGCGTGAGATTGACAGGCGGATCGGTGCAGCGTGCGCAGTGATGCGGTCTCTGTATCGGACCGTTGTGGTAAAGAGGGAGCTGAGCCGAAAGGCAAAGCTCTCAATTTACCGGTCAATCTTCGTTCCCTCCCTCACCTATGGTCATGAGCTGTGGGTAATGACCGAAAGAACGAGATCGCGGATACAAGCGGTCGAAATGAGCTTCCTCCGCAGAGTGGCTGGGCGCTCCCTTAGAGATAGGGTGAGGAGCTCGGTCACACGGGAGGAGCTCGGAGTAGAGCCGCTGCTTCTCCACGTCGAGAGGAACCAGTTGAGGTGGCTCGGGCATCTGTTCAGGATGCCTCCTGGACGCCTTCCTGGGGAGGTGTTCCGGGCACGTCCCACCGGGAGGAGGCCCCGGGGAAGACCCAGGACACGCTGGAGAGACTATGTCTCTCAGCTGGCCTGGGAACGCCTAGGGGTCCCCCCGGACGAGCTTGAGGAGGTGTGTGTGGATAGGGAAGTCTGGGCGTCTCTGCTTAGACTGCTGCCCCCGCGACCCGGCAACGGATAAAGCGGAAGAAAATGGATGGATGGATGGATGGGTGTTTTGTTTTGAGTTATTGTCAATTCATCTTATGCTGTGTGCTCCTCATTAACTAGTAATCTCTGGGAACACTAGGTGCCACCATTGCGCGGCTGTGGCTGTAAAGTGCCAAACTGTGGTTGTGTCTTTA